AGGTGATTAACTTAGTATAAAAAAAGTTTACCTTGGGCGATCGCCATATTCGCACTATAGTAAATTTATATAGTAATTTGAGTCACATTTTACTATGATCATTTTTCAGTTGACTGGAGGATCATCAATTAAATCAATTTATTAACATAGATATTGTACAATATCAAAATGCTTTGCATAAAGTAATAGTAAGTTACTTATATATTATGTATTTAGTAATCTACAAAAAAAATATTTGTTTAGTAAAATTTGCAAAGTATGGACTATATTCACCATTAAATGGCTCGAAGGATGATAGTCTATCAGCTATTTCTTGAGTGGATAAATTATCATCGTCGGTTAAAACATCATCACTATTATTTTCATAATTATTATCCTAATCGGTTAAAACATCATCACTACTAGTTTTACAATCATCAGTACTGTCCTTAAGGTCATCGTTACTGCTTTCAAGACTGTCACTATGGAATGTAATACTTTCAAAGTCATCACTACTTTCTTCAAGGTAATCGTCTGTATTGTTGTACTCAAGACTATTGTTATTAACTGGTGCTTCAAAATCTTCATCTTCATTATTGCCTTTACAGTAATAGACATCTTCATTTCTTTCTTCAAGATCATCATCGTTGCTTGTTAAAACATCTTCAAAGTTATTATTACTTTCTTTAAGATCACTATTTGCTGAAACATTTTGAGAACTGTTCGATGCAAGTTTAGCTTGTTTTTTCTTTAACAAGCAAGAGCGTCTTACTCTACTAAGATGAACAGTAACTTTATATTTTAAAGTGCATATATAAGTCATTGTAAGAGAGATCAGAAGTTAAGTAATATCTTCAATAACCACTTCTTATTTTTTTATTACTTGTATGAAAGAGAGAGAGAGAAAGACTATTTTAATTACCAATTTCTATTTATTTATATGTTGATCAATGATGTTATACTTAATAAGCTTTTTACCAACTAAGCAATAAATAATTAATACACGATGATTAATTAAGATTATAAATTAACTTTTTCATAATTGATCGCATAAATTTATAATTGGTCAAATATATTAACATGTGATAATCAACCAATAAAATTGCATAAATAACACTTATATTTAAAAGAAATGTTTATTCTTAAACATATTGTAAGTTATATTCTAAACTAGTAATATCAATGAAACCCAGAAGTTATTGTACTATTGAAATTTCCCTGTTCATTAACTAGCTATTTGCATTCGTTTTATTAGTTAATCTGAATATTCATTCAGTATATTTGAATGACCTACATTCATGTCCATTATCCTTAATCCTAGAATTATTTGGATATGTGAACTCTATTTATTCATTTAAAATAATAAATATATATTAATAAAGACTTTTATTAAAATGCACCTTGATGTTTTACACCTATGTATACATTATTATAGTATGAGGTATTCCAAGTAAAAATATTCTACGCTATATACTATATTATTACAGTATGAGGTATTCTAAGTAAAAATGTTTTATGCCCTAAAAACTCTTCCAAACACTAACTCTAACTTTAAGCACTAACACGAATGTAAAAAAATTTATGCTATATACAAAAATTAGAAAAATGTATAATAAAAAAATATGATAGATGTAAAAATACATAGGTGTGTTTTATAATAATTCTTAATAAATGTAGTATAAGCTTTATTATAAATTGGTTTAAATTTTATTTGATATTAATTATATTATTTATAACATTATAATGTACTGTATAGTTCTTTTATTAAATTATTAGCGAGTAATTATATGCTTTAGTATATTTGCTTCTTTAAATGATGTAATTTTATAATTTTTATAATATATTTTTTAATCGAATTTCTATTATTATTTATTTACTAATTATTTAAATAAAATATATTAATAGTTAATTTTATTTGAAGTTAGGACATTGGCTTTAATTAGTGCACCAAGGTTATCTGAATCTGAATAATTTGAGTAGCTTATCCATTTGCCCTATAAAAAAATCTCTTGGAATTGTTTAGGAAGTTCTGAAATTATTCAATTTTTGTTCAGAAAATCTCAAACATTTAAAGGATTTTTATTGGATGAATGCGTTTTTTATACGTTTTTTGTACGATAATTTTTAATCAAAAATTTTCTATTTTTTTATCTCGTACAATTGTTGTTATGAAAATAATACAAATATAAACCTTGTTCGGAAAATCGACTCCATTCTGACCATTTTTTTGGACAATGCCTACAATAACTGTACAAACTTTTTTTATAGGGTCGAACTACTACATCAAGTTTACCTATAAGCAATTTACAATGTGAAAGTCATTTTTTTACTAGTTTTTTTTTTTACAAGAACATCTTAATTACGAGATATAAGTTTAGAAATTTATCATTATAAATATTTATTGCAAATACGTATTACATTATTAATTAATAGCTTTAAATAATTTGTTTGATCTATATTGACTAAGTTAATAAATCATCCAATCTATAAATTGCAATTATCATTCACTTTTTTTTATTGCCTAGCTCTTTCTTTAAAAGTACTTTAAAGTCTGCATCGTTGAAATTCAACACGTCTTCAGCATCATAAATATTATAATTCAAAGTAATATAATTTAAATCCTTGATTTTAACAAGCTTGTTTTCCAATATTTCTTCTATCATTTTCAAGAGATATTTGGATATAAATGTCTGCTATGCCTTCTTAAATTCGGGAATAAATGTCGCTTCTTTATCAATTACCTCAAAGAAACGATTGAGAAACGATTTCCAGTCATCTTCCTTAAAATAAGCCTCAATATCGGCTTTTTCAACATGAGAAAGAAACTTGATTCTATGAATTACAGTTTAATTAACAGAATTTTTTTGATTAGAACTTGAAACTGATTTTATTTCATATTAAATCAGATTTTAAAATATAAATTTACAAAACGAATTACTTACTTAAAATCCTTAATGAAATGTTTTGCAACTTTTTTGACACCATTTCAAAGTGTATCTCTGTAGCTCCGATATGCTGCATTGGCAGCACCTTTCAAGACTGAAATATCTTTATGTGAAAATTTTTTTGAAAGAAAACATAATTTAATACATCTAAGAATTATTGTTGTTTTAAGATACCGCATTCTAAAAAATAAGCATTTTAAAAATGTTTGAAATGTTGTTGATTCCTATAATAATTTGTAAAAATTAATAAAATAAATAAATTTTGCTATAACAAAAAAACATCATATAGTACGCCAATTCGCGTATTAAAAAAAAAAAAAATTACTTGTTGAGTAAGAATATCGGTTCTTTCTTCATTATCTGACTTTCTAAGGCCATCGTACTGTGCCATCTGATTTGCAATTTTTAGAAGCTTTGGTCGTTCAGCAACATATGCTGCTGCTTCATAATTAGTATTAAATAAAAGAGTGTTTTGGTTATTTGATTGAGGTTGTGAATGTTGATATCGAGATACTTGTGAATAACGTCTTGGTGATCGTAAACAAGAAAGTTGAGAACGTCTTGGTGATCTTGAACGAGAAAGTCAAGAAAGTCGAGAATGTCTTGGTGATTGAGAGCGAAAATGTCGAAAACATCTTGGTGATTGAGAATGAGAAAGTCAAGAATGTCTTGGCGATTGAGAACATCTTGGTGATTAAGAACATCTTGGTAATTGAGAACATCTTGGTGATTGAGAATGAAGATGTCGTGACCTAGAACAAGAGCGAGTATGCTGTAATTGAGAGTCCTCAACATTGTTGTTCGAAGATAATTTATTGAAAGAATCAAAGTCTTCATTATTAACGTATCCAGGATCATAGCTTTTGATATTCTTGTTTAAATTTTTACTACTTTTAGTTGAAACCACTTTTTTTATGCCAGAAGCTTTAGATGTCTTTTGACTTGCGAGTGCTTTCTTAGAAGTACATTGATTTTGTTTTACACTAGCTTTCTTGGCCATTATAATAATTTTTCTCAAAATATACAATACTATAAAAATTAAGCAGTTTGAAAATAAATTTATAGTTAATATATCTTATAAGTACGTACTATTTTTTTATTTTTATGACGTATAAAATCTGTTTTATGTGCATGATTTTTTTCAACAAGGAAGTTTTATATAAGCTTAGTAAAATCAATGATGCAATAGAATGATTAGTTAAGAACGTGCAATGTATTAATTAAGTAAACAGTATTGTTCTGTACCAATTAATTAATCATTCAATCTGTTAACAAGAGATTTAATAGTAGTCAATATTACTAAAATCTACCTCAAAGGTAGTGCATCGCAGTAAACTTATGGGCCACACAAGGGCACCAAATTTGGTTCGTATTTAACTATTATGTGTGAGACAACGATTTACGTGAAAAACACTAATTAGACCTTTATTTTCTCTTTGCAATTTTATATATGCTTTTCATTTTACAAATTACATCACCTTTCACTTATATGCATTTTTAACTATTAATTAATTACTAATTTGCTATTCTACTTCTAAATTTATTATGACATTTATCATGCACATTATGTTATGACTGACTTTTGTATTTACTATGTGCACCATCTATTAATCAATTACTATTCACACCCGATTGAATATCACGTGGGTTACATGAACCATGTGACAGTTCGATCGATCTAATCTAAGTGTTCGAAAAGAGAAAACTTTTTTTTTTTTTTTATTGTTATTTTGCTTTACGATTTTAATAAACTCTAAGTCATATCAACTGTATTTCTTTTACAAAGTACACCATATTTCCGTTGTTCTATCACACTGTCATTACTTATTACACTATATCGATACACCCGATCCTGATCGATCACCATTAGAAAATTTTTTATATAGATACATATCGATATATTGTAGTAAATCGATATATATCGATTAGAAAATAATGTTATATATCGATAAAATAGGTTATATATCGGTATATAACAAAGAATCGATATATATCAAAAATAGAAATATATCGT